TGGAGGAAGTGCAGGTTGGAGAAGCCAGGCGAGGAAGGCTTGAACACAAACTGAGGGCAGTAAAATGTTGGGGAGGTGGGGAGGAGGGGAGTGGAGATAATTTCCCCAAGTCATCAGTTGTAATCTGTTGAAAGTAATCTTGGATAGGTCATTATATGGGTACATCCTCATAGGTACAAATATTTCATGTCTCTAGTATAGAGAGTAGTGTTAAATAAAAATATCACTAATGTTTGGATGTGTATTTTCTAGACAATATAGATTTATACCTGAAAGTCCCACTCAAACCAATTTTTTTTTAATTCTTGGAGTATGAGTGAAGTTGGTACAAGCAAGTTTTGTCTTTGAAGGCTCAAACTTGCTTAATACTTCAACTGATACTGGATTCTTCTGCTATTCTGTATTTCACTTTCAAAGATGTGCAGTTTCACCTGGGATGGGCTTTCTTTTGTGATTTATATAACAAATAATCCTCTGCATAAGGATTGCTGTCTCAAGTGACTCAAATAATTATTCCTTTTGGGGGACACTTCTCTTGTAAAATACACTGTGAAAGGGACACTACTAAAACTACAGTAGGTCTTGCTAGTGATTACTTAGATTCTTCATAGTGAAAGTATAAAGCTGTCTGAGCATTCGTATTGCAAGTTTCTGAAGTCTAATCAGAATTTCTATCAGCAGTAAAGCTTTAACATTTTTTCTAATTAATAAAATTTTTGATCAAGTATTTCTTAGGGAAGTTATTCCTGATCACACTGAAGAATCTATGCAAGGAGACTAGTGTTATGTGCCTTGTAATTCTGAAAAGATATGCTTGGGTATCTTTAGCTAAAGTACTTAGGTTTTAAAAGATTGGGGAATATTTGTCATATTCACATATCTAAATACAACTTACTGTGAAGTATAGATCTGAACTTTTCCTTCTAGACCTCACAAACACGTTAACTACATTGTTTTCTATACAATGGAGGATTTTTTTAGACAGCTTTATGAGATCTGTGTTGATTTTGAAACTTCAGTAATCAAATTTCTAGAAAATATGACCTCTTTATTTTTGATGTTCAAGAGATCTTCGTTATTTGCAGTTCACTAGTTTCTTAAACTTCATGCTGATTTACTGATGTTAAGAGTTGGACTTTTTCTACTCATCTATATCTGGTCTTTACAGACTTACTGCAGAAGCTATAGCTCAGATCCTAAGCCATCAAAGTTTATGATACATGGGTGTCAATCTTAAATGCAGCGGTCTTCAGTTTGATGGATGCTGGGAGTCTTTCAATTTCTAAGGAGATAGTTGTCATCCAAAAATAACATCCAAAGAAATTAGATTTGCTGCCAGCCATAAGCAGTGGTTGATCAGAATCAACTATGTGCAAGTATTTCCATCTGCTTTTCCTAATGAAGTGTTTTCTTTAGATTGTTGTTTTATTTCATGTGAGTTTCAATGTTGCCATTTCAAAATCTGACTCTACTTAAGAATTTTCACCTGGTTTTGGAAGCGTATGTATTCTTTTAGTGCATCCTGAAGTGTATCTTCAGATTACTCAGAAGTACCGATGTGAGAGTTGCACCACATGTCTGCTTAGCTCAGTCTCCAATTTTCAAGAAGTGACCAGCAGGAAACACTATGTGAATGAGCTGCTACACAGTAATGCTTCACCTGGGACAATCTTTTAGTTTCTAGCAAGTAGCAGAGAATTCAATGGAGTCTTTGATTCAGAGTTGTATCTGGGTCATCTTTTTTAATAGCTACCAGTAGACATGTCTTACATGAATTTGTCTAATGCCTTGTTGAGTCCATTTATACTTCCGTTTTTTGCAATGTCCTATGGCAATGAGCTCTGCAAATATGAGAACGTTTTTTCGTCTCTCTTTTCTCCCAACTCCCTCCCCAGACCTAATGTGTGATGATTTTGTTGGGCATCCCAGTTCTTATAGTTTGAAGAATAGCAGATACTCATTCTTTGCATGTTTTCTTTGGGCTTTTTTATAGACGACTGTAGCACAGCCAAATCTTTTTCTAGAGTCAAGAATCCTAATTTCTCCTCATAAGAAAGCTGCATTGCACCTCTTACAATTCTTGTTGTCTTTTTTTCATGTCTTTTCTAGTTTTGCTGTGTTCTTTTTTTAGATGGTACAACCATAATTTCATTAAGGCTCAGTTAATTCATTGAGAGTTACAGTAAAGGAATATTCTGGTGAACATCAACTTGTTATTTCTTTGAACAGCAGGTGTGCAGTCTTTTAGATCTCAGAATCCTAAATGTGAAACTGATTCAGGTTTTACGGGCATCTGATAATTTGTGAGTGGTAAATAGAGTGTTTAATATTTTTAAAAGTTAATTCCACTGTTAAGGTACTTTACTTTTGCCTGTAAATGAGTATATAGATAATAGATCTATACATTTTATTTTCAGGAATCTGAGAGTCTGTGTGACAAGCTGCTTTTAAGACAAAGGATGAACTTGTTGTCCCAGATGTCTGCTACTCCAACAGACTGCTTGTTTAAGGTTAATAACTTTTATGGCAGAATACGTATGTACTTACACATTGCATGTTTATATCCCTTCCTCTGTGATTTTCTGAAATGTAATGCAGTGTTAATTACGTTAGTACTGCGAAATGTGTTTTAGTAGATGCTAAAAGTGTGTATTGAATCTAGTATATTTCTGTGCCAAAATGTTACCGAGTTAATATAATCTTACAGATTTCAGCACGTGTTACAAGAAATATGGAATCAAATGAGGACGAAATGCTACTGCTGTTGGTATTGATGGCCCATTTACTGCACAGATGTGATATTGCTATCTGGTTGCCTCTTATAGCTTTTAGTGCTTGAAATTGAAACAGTTTTCTGAAATAATTTAAATGTGGTCACCTGACAGCTACTTCATATTATATGTTCATCTCATACTGTCATTCTAAAAGAATTTTGTCTATACAAGGACACAAAGCAGAGCTGCTAATTATATGTGTTCACAGCTTATGGCTAGGGAATTAGTAATTTTATAGAAATGTTTTTGCCCAGAGGGAGCTCAATTTCGTGACTGAGTCTAAAGAGAACAATAGGAATTGTTTTAATTTTTTATAGAAAGTGAAGTAAGCCAAGAACAGATTCTTTTTAATACTGAATGCCCATTAGGGGGTTTTGTGCTGTGACATTGTTCATTTCTGCTTTCTAATGCTTGAATACGTCTCTCATAATCGGTTCCTTTCATTTTGTGCTTCAGTAAATTACTCTATTTTTTTGGTGTTTTGTTTTTTTTTTCCCTTAAAAGGAGACTTTTTATATTGGTTCCTCATTCTCTTTCTTCTTCTATGCTTTTTGTAGCATATTGCTTCAGGTAATCAGGAGGAAGTGGAGCGATTACTAAGTCAAGGTGACAGCGATAAGGACACTGTACAGAAAATGTGTCATCCACTCTGTTACTGTGACAAATGCGAGAAGCTAGTTTCTGGGTAAGCACTTTTCATCTCCACAAATACACAAAAAGTGATGTTAAAGTCTTCATCTAAGATTTACTTTAGGAAAGTATGCTGCTTTTGGTTATAGAGGAAGTTGGTAGCACTTCGGGATGTAGTAGAGAACGCATGTTCATGTGGTTTGAAAAAGCAGAAGAAGTATTATGAGAATACTGAATGCTTTGGAACCAGCCAATTTTGTGATGGAAGCTGTATATGCTTTGATAAATGTGGTGTGAAATGTTTCTCCTCTTGAACCTAATTTACACATCTTGGACAAAACCACATCTCTTAACAAAATGTAAAACTCTGTATAAAATAATTTGTTGATGTGAAAGGATAAAGGAAAAAAAGTCCCCAAATCAGTTTTTTGTCGGCCTTGGCTAGTTTTCTCTTTCTTTACTCCTTATCACTGCTGCATAGTTAGCTGAGCTGCTTTTAAACCATTGTGTTTTAAAGGAAACTGAATGATCCTTCCATTGTAACTCCATTTTCCCGGGATGATCGGGGATATACACCACTTCATATAGCTGCTATTTGTGGTGAGTGTTGTTGGTTTTCTTCACTAGTGCTTTCTACTCCCTATGTTCCTTACCTTTGTTAGCATGTTTTCCAACTTTGCATTAAAGAGTGAATTTTGCATTAAATTGTTTTCTGCATATTTGCTATGGAAACTGGTAGCTTGGCACACACTGAAGTTATTGTATATTCTTTTAAGCTCAGTTTTTTATTGCTAAGTTACTGTTTGTCAGTTTGCTGGCTGTTTACTTTTGCCATGGTGGTTACCACAATAGTTCTTTCTTCAGCTGTGAAAAAAGCAAAGAAGTGTCATCAGAAACCAGTCTTGTTTCAAAGAACTGGCATATTGAGAAATTAATCTTTTCTCTCTCCTGCAGCTGGCTATGCATGGTAGATCTGCACCATCTCCTGTCTTGTAATGTTCATTATGCCATTGATCTTAGATTTATTAGAAGATGTATTAATTTTCTTAGGGTTTTTTTATAAATAATTTCCTTTTTTTAATGCTATCTTGAATCCCTATAGGAGAGTGCTTTGTGGGACATGGCTTTATTTTCTATTCTTTTCTTACTCATAAGATACAAGTATAACTTGCTTTTAGCTGGAGGTTCTTTTATGGAGCTTTGACCTTGAATAATCCTCAATGAAAAAAGCAAATACCAATGAAGTGAATATACAGTATATGGGAACATAGCATGCAGAAATGCAGGCTATCTTGATTTATAGTTTATGTTTGAATTTCAAAAGTAGCAATGTTCTTTTGCAAAGTTCACTTCTTTCTTTTAATCTCTGCATATTTTTCAAGGGCAAACATCATTAGTAGATTTATTAGTAGCCAAAGGAGCTGTTGTCAATGCTACAGATTACCATGGTTCAACTCCACTTCACCTTGCCTGTCAGAAGGGATATCAAAATGTTACGGTAAGCACCAAAAGACTTAATTAGAAATAAAAATAAATACTTAACCTAAATGATAAATATGACTCTTACTAAGCAGCTCTACTGTTGCTGTCATTTAGGTCTTCTGAGAAGCTTTTACCAGAACTGTGTATGCTGTCAGAATTGATGATCTTTTACCATTGTAGTTTGCATAATAATTTATTTTTTCCTATACTGCAAGGTTTTCAGCCATTTTGTAATAACCAAGCAATTGACAGCTATGCATGCCTGATAATTCATCCATTTTATTAATACAAATCTCTAATACATAGTACAAATGGAGAGCCTGTTAACATCTCTGCTCTTGATTAAGACAGAAGAACCATTGCAGTCATTGGAATGAATTAAATTACTTCATATTGTGTTTAGGATAGACTGTGTAACTAATTATTGTGTACTTGAATTTTATATAAGTGAAATTCTTCAGTTGGCATGGTTGAAATTAAGCTGTGTCTTCACTGACTTAGGCTCTTCAAATATAGGATAAATTATTATGTAGTATATGTATTGCAGTGTTTGCCGCAGTAGATGATTCATTTTTTCAATGACAACTCTGAATATGTAAGAAGCAGCTTTAATTTGGTTCCTAGGGTAGGGCAAAACCAGTACTGTAATGCCAGGATGGTAGTCTGAAACAGGAGAGCCATAGCTAGTTTTTCATTAAGTGCTTCATCGTGCTAGAAACCTGAAGGAATCTACAGAGTAACAATTGTTTGTCCCATTAATTTTTTAGTCACTTAAATGTCTACTTTTATTTTTCTTTTAAGCTTCTCTTATTGCACTATAAGGCAAGTACTGATGTTCAGGACAATAATGGAAATACTCCACTTCATTTAGCCTGCACTTATGGTCATGAAGATGTAAGTAATTGTTTTGTAATGAACCAAATGTACATTCTAATGGAATGGAATTAAACGGTGATGTGAATTTGCACTAAACTTACATATTTTTAAAAATAATTAAAAAAGATTTGAAGGCTATTTAACACTGTAAATTAGGACTTTATTCAGTAGTTCATAGCAATTTTTATTATGCATTCACATTAAAGATAGTAGTGTTGTGCAAATGTAGTTGAGTTATTTAACTTTTTGTTTAATGACACTGAACCATAAAAGCCTGCCCTTCGGGCAATGGATTATATTGGCAGTGGTGAAAAAAGACTTTGTAGGGTTGCACATATTATATGAATTGAGAGACAATACCATAATTTATTGATAGCTTTCCTTTTCTTTCCAGTGCGTCAAAGCTCTGGTCTACTATGATGTGCATTCCTGTAGACTAGATATTGGTAATGAAAAGGGAGATACTCCTCTCCATATAGCTGCTCGTTGGGGCTATCAAGGGATCATAGAAGTGCTTTTGCAAAATGGTGCCAATCCAGAAATTCAAAACCGGATGAAAGAGACTTCCCTACAGTGTGCATTAAATTCCAAGGTATTCCTCTGTCTTCTAGCCTGATTTCTTTCTGATGCAATTCCTTGGAGGTGTAGGTGCTTTACCTGCTAATAGGATTTTGTGGTCTGTACTATTAAAGTGAAAACGTATGTTTGCCTTTTAGGAAGATGGGTCACATTTTAAATCTAATGTCTGTAGTATGCAACATAAACTTGTAAACAGGTACTTTTAATCTGCTCAGTCATAATTTGTTACTAATGCTAGGTTGTCGGCTAATTCGTGTTTCAGTCAGTAGATTCCTCTTTAAGTGGAGTTAAATTGGTTCTCTTTATTAATATTCCTATGCAGATTTTGTCATTGATGGAATTAAACTACCTAACATTCGAAAGAGGACAGAGTGCTTCTGAGGTAACAACCAATGCAAGTTGCTAAACTTTTTTTTTGCCTATGTTTAACCTGCTTAATCTGATATGTAACTTTTTCTGGTTTTGTTTTTTTGTTGTTGTTGTGGGTTTTTTTTTCTCCAACTTTTAAGTCGCCGCTTAGGTCTCCTCAGCGCTCAGCAGAAACTTTCAGCAGAGGATCATCTGTCTCAAGCCTGTCATCAGCCTCAACTGATATAAGGCAAGAAGAAGTAAAAAATAGTTATAAAGAGGTAAGACTTGAGGTATAAGTTTTGACAATAAGCAAAGTGAAGGAAGCTAGAAGAGTGATACTTTGCCATGTTATTTTAAACTGCTTCTTCAGCAATAGCCGCCTGTCTGGTTTGGAAAATTATATGCTGCTATCCTCAGGTGCTTGTCATACCAGTATCTAAACATTTTTGTATTTTGTGTGGTATCAACTGCTCTGCTGGTTATTTCTGGGGAAAAATTAAAGGATATTTGGCGTAGTTGTTCAGATTTACTGCAGTTAACTGCATAATTTGAGAATTTGTTGCGGTTTACAAAATTATAGTGGCAGTCAGTCCCTGAAGGACCTTGCTGTCCTGTCCAGGAATTAAATACCATTGTTAGCTTAGAAAGTCTGTCAGGGAAACGAGACTAGTACAGGCATACTGGCAAACAACTTAACAAACTAGAGTGTTAAGACAAGCTTTCAAAACAGGCATAGGAAATCAGTTTTGTAATGTGAAGAAGTACACACTGTATACTAAATAGCTTGCATATATGTGTGTGCTGATTTTGCTGTGTCCACACCAACCAAGATGCTGTGCTCTGAATTTTTTCATGTGGGATCTCAGACCCGTACTTTCCATTTATCCCCTCCTAAGACGGTCATATTACCACTTCTTCTGATGCTTCTCTCTTTATTTTGTGTTTTTACCAGTCCTCCTGTTCAATTTTTTTCCAAATTGACCTCCTTAGTAATTTTGTTTCTCTCCATATGACTTCTACATTCAAATTCTTCTTCCTTTTCCTGCTCTTAAAAGGTGGTTCTCTTGCCAAAAGTTTCTGTTTTTTAAAATGTTGAAGAAACTCAAAGATGCTAAGTTTGACTGGACAATATTACTTCACACTTCATTATCATTGACTCTGAGAGCCTCAATGTAGGAGTGTACCTCCCTGTTTGTACAGAATCAAGCACTCTAAATAAGGTCTAATGTACGTAAAAGTTCACCTCATAGATTGAGGATTTATTTTTCCTTAAAGGAACAAGTTTATCACACCCAAGAGCTAAGACTGTAGTTCAAACCAGGGAAAAAGATTACAAGCAGCTTACACCTTAGGTTCTTGGGGTTAATGACCTTCTCCTGTAATCCAGCTTTAGGTAATTTCCCTTTGCCAGGTTTCACATGGGCTCTTATTCTTACTAAGCAAAGAGGCAAGGGCCTAATCCGGAGAGAGCTCCGTGAAGGGAATGGCACTGGAAGTAGTGGGAAACTGATAAGGTCAGTTTTCCAGACATCAAGACTTAGACCATGGGTTAAGGGGATGCAGTTAGATCTTTCTTAATCAACACTACTGGTGAATTAAACTCTTTGCTTAATGAGCCAGTCATGGTGTATGTCTTGTATGTGGCTTGTTGATGACTTAGAAAAGAGAGAATAAAAGAGCCAGGCATGTAAATTTGGAACTTTCTCTGTTGGAACTAATAACTCCTTGCACAATTTCTGTTCAGCAACACAAAAACTGAGCATGTGAGTGAATTGCAGTAGATTTGTTTCTTCTATTTTTACATTTAAAGGAAGGTATTACTGTTCCATTGAAGAGTGAGAAAGCAAACTGGAAAGATGGGGAAATGCATGTAGTAGACATTTTGCCCTAAGTACTCTTAATAAATTATCTATAAGCTGCATAACAGATGTTGTATGCTTCTCCACTGCTAGGGCCTGAGGCAGTTTTTAAAACTGTAAGGAAGTTGTTATTTTTGGAAAGAAATTATCAGAGCTTGTGGGTCACTTGCTGTTACTGTTAGGCATCTTGTATATGGTAAGACTGGCTCCTGAAAATCATCAAGCCATTTACATTCCCCAGTGACATTATCCTATATCAGGTGACGTTTTCCCTCCTTGGTGGAGAGAAATTGGCACCTCTAGAGAGGAATTAATCTCAAGACGTGCTTAGTTTGGCCTGAGTTGCACTGCAGTGTCATTTGTTGACTGCATTCTGTTCTGTAGTTACCATAGAGGGAGTTTAAATGTCTGGTTTAGATTTAGACAGCTAACTTTTAGACATTCATAGTTAGGCAAGAGGAATCCTGCCTTGAGTGCCTAGTGCCTGACTTCAAGGAGCTTCACCTTGTATTAGAAAGGTAGTAATAAAATAAAACTTAGCAGCTTTCCTAAGAAGAGATAAAAGTACAGAAATTAAATCTAGCCTCTGACCTTTCACCTGTAAATATGTCCTGTTCCTCTGCTAAAACCCCAAAGAGAGAGATCAGATCAGTAAAACACAACTTCCTTTTAGTCTCATTCTTCCTTGTTTGTTTTACCAAATGCTGCTGTCACAGTCAGCAAGATAGTAATTTCTAGATGAAGATAGAAATGCGACTATAGCTGTTACTCCATGACATCTGCAACTTGCAAGATGTTTCTTAATATTGAAACAACTTTGTTGACACAGCAGCATCTTTGGTGATGATGGCACAGTACTAAACTGTTTTTAAATTTGCTAAACTGACTTTCACAAAGCTTATTAAATGATTCTTCAACAATCTGCAGAGGCTGGACAAGTTGCCTATTGATAGTACTAGTGGACTCTTACTGGCATTTATCCCATTTCTATCAGGTTAGATCTCAACTCCTTCATGGGAGAGTAGAGAATCAGAGGAGAAGCGGGGAGACAAGTACATCTCATTCTCCTGCTTTCACAAGCAATTGGAGGGATCAGGGGAATGGCATCAGTGCACTGCAGAGTACCTTCTATCTCTTCTTCCCCCCACTTGCCTCTTTCCCCCCTGCAGAGCTCATAAACAGGACAATACTTAGACCACGCAGTCGTGCTTAGGCATTAGCTGGCCTGAGCATACACATACTTAATTTATGTAATGCTGGCCCCCTGGAATAACTCTCTGAGTTGAAGAGACCTGGCTTTTGCTAATGTATAGCCTTTGGTATTTATATATTTTCAGATTTTAAGTAAGAAAACAAATATCATACTTATAATCGCGTTAGATTTGTAAGTCTTTGGTTTTTTAACATAGGATTAAACCAGTAATCTGCAGTTATGAACAACTGGAAAGCATCTTTTTCGTTTTGAACTGTTGTTTCTCAAATAGTAAAATAAAATCTGACCTTCTTTGTGCTTCTGGTAGTGTCGAGTAGCTCAGCAAGAGTCTAAACGGTACTAGTGTTTATCAGGGTAGAAATTTGTCTTGAGTAGGGATTTTTAATGTTAGGTTCTCAACAGAAATGTGTGGTCAGCTGCTGCTGAAGCGGCATAATAACATATAGCAGCTTACATGGCTTTGTACATGTGTGAACTACATTTAGGTAAGTACTGTTTATCTTTAACTAAGCAAGTCAGAGATCATGAAATGGCCACAGGCCTTGCACAGCTTTTGTATTTCATAAAGGAAGAAGATTTTTCCTTTAAAACTTTATCAACAAATATGAAATGGGCCAGCAGTAATCCTACCACATGAGCTTAGGAGGTTAGTAAAGGACGCAGGATTTTCTTTGTACAGCTTAATAACAATACTTGGTGATCTGGAAATGGTGAGTCTTAGCATGGCTGTTCAATATTATTGAATTCCAATTCACTTCTTTCAAATTGAGGAAGTTATTTGTACATAGTAAGTGAAGAATGCTTTGGGTAATGCCTTCCTTCAGCAGCAATTAAGCAAATTCAGCTCATTTTCTACAAAGAATATTCACTCCATGTCCCCAAATTATTTTACCTACAGTGCTTTAACACCTATTATTTTGACATTTCCATGACCTTTTGCACTAAAGAAATTACTTTAAATTGAATAATTTCTGTGTGAAGGCCTGTCATTTAAAAATGTATGCATAGTCACCTCTAGAAGATGCAAAGAACTTGGGAAGAACGACATTCAGGGCAGGCATGTTGAAAAGAAATATTGTGGGAAAGAGCAATTTATTTGCTTGCAGGTGCCCAAGCTGCACTGTCAAATGCTGTTGTTAGCTGGGGAGCATGGTGTATTGCAGAACTGTAAAAAGATATGTATACTGAGGTCACAGTATTGAACTGGATATGCAGTCAACACAAAACAAAAAAACCCAGGCAAAATAGATGAGTTTTCAGGTAAATCTGATTTTTGACAGCAAATCCAATAGAAAGTGTTATTACTCCCAGTTGCTTGTTCCTGTGTGACAGAAGTACATTGTATTTTTTCCCATATGTGAATTGATGCATGTGCTCAAGTGGCAGTGCTGTGCACCAGTTCTGGAAATTGAATGGTGGGATTTACAGTTTGTGGTTTTTTGACTTAGGAAGTATTCCAGTAATACAGTGGTTTTGAATCCACAAATGCTTTTTGATTCCTAAATTTCCAGGTTCTGTAATGGTTTGAATATTGTCTACTCTTTATTGTATGTTTACTGCATATAATAGTTGTGCATAGGTTCTGCAAATGAAAAATAGGCTCTTATTTTGTTTGTTGTGATACCTTTTTATTAATATTTCATACAGAGAGGAAATTTAGGTGACACCAATCAGTACAGAGAAGTTATCTTGGGGCATACAACTTTCCTGTAGTTTGGATTTCATGTCAAGTAGATAGCTGATTGCTATAATAATACCAGTTTCAGAGTTGGTATTCTGTAATTTGTCATACTTACCACCTGTTTTGACGTATTTTTCTACTCCTGAAAATTTGAACAATGTGCTTCCAATGTCATTCTATGGAAAAAATGAAGATGATGCGGAAATCTTTACAGGTTTTGTCTTTGGAAAGATGTAGAAGGCAAACATTTCTTAATTGTTTTGTAGTTAACAGAACAAAATTACGAACCTGTGTGAGAATGCAGAGTTTCTCTGCTGGATACATGTTCTGAAAATTTTGTTTCGGTGATACATACCAGGAGTTACAGATGCTAATGAAACATCACACAGTCATAATAAGAGATAATCTGCGTCACAAAATACATACCATGTTAATCTTGATTCTTTCATGTTTATTCCAGTTAGATGACAGAAACCAATTCATTTATCAACTGGGGGAGGAAATAACTGTTCAATTGTTAAGTAAATATCATTATCCTAGTTCACAATGTAACTTTATCATAGTAATTATTTCCAGGTCAGCCCTTAAGTCATTTCAAGAAGCAGCAATACATACAATGGTGATATTTACCATCTTCCTGGCAAGTAGTAAACATGAATGTATTACGATTAACTTTCCACAGACTTTGTGAAAATCTAAACTGCAGCATGAAAATATTTAGGGAAAACTATATATAGTGCTATAATTTTCTGGAAAATTAGTATCTAGCACTGCTTAACGGATATCAACAATGAAAAGCATATAGAAATCTAATGTAAGCGTTCAGATGGTAGAATCACCTTATTTTTTGCAACTTTACTGCCCACATTACTCAAGTTCATATGAAACTGGTCATTCTAAAGAGAATTGTCCAATTAGATGACAAAGGTTACAGCTTGCATATCTATTGAAAAAACATGGTTATTTAAAAAGCCTTATCTTGTTCTGACAGCCTGAGGTCTGTCTCCATAGGAACAGAAGCACAGTAGGGTCATTAGTGCTGTTGTAGATTTCCGCTGTGGCAGCCAATTGAGCTTTTGCAAGAGAAGGCATTAAAAAAAAGTGCTATGAAACTGGAAGATTAAAAAAAAAAAAAATCATGCTGTGATTGTTCAGGAAGCCAGAAAACAACCTTTGTCAACATTGTAGCACCTGCAAACTTTAAAAGCAAGCATGCTTTAGATCAGAGATAATGATGTTAATCAGTGACAGTTATTTTAATTAGCTAACTCAATGGCAACTAATTCTACATTTTGAAAATAAAATTTAGCCCACTTAGGTATATCTGTCATGAGAAAGAAGTATTTTGGGACAGTATGGAGGAAATACCTGTGTAGAAGGGATTAAGCTTTATTCCCAAAATATGTTTCAGAGGTACGCAGCAGCTTTTTTGGGGGAGGTTCTCAAACTGTACTTTTTATGTGTTTTGTGGTTGCTGAATTGGTAGAAAATGATTATAGCTCCATTATTGGTGGAGACTGTTAAGAGTTCTGTCGTGGTTTAACCTGGCTGGCAACTAAGCACCATGCAGCCGCTCGCTCACTCCCCCCCTCCCTCAGTGGGATGGGGGAGAGAATTGGGAAGAAAATAAAAGGTTAGAGCCGAGGGCTGAGATAAAGACAGTTTAATAAGAGAAAATAATAATAATAGTAATAATGAGAATGATAACAGAATATACAAAACGAATGATGCACAATACAATTGCTCACCACCTGCCGACCAATGCCCAGCCCGTCCCGAGCCGCGATCACTCCCTGAGCTGTGATCAGTCTCCCCGCAACCAACCGACCAACTAACCCCCCCGAGCGTGACGTTATATGGTATGGAATAGCTCTTTGGACAGTTTGGGTTAGCTGTGCTAGCTGTGCTGTACTCCCAGCTTGTTATGCACCTGGCCGAGCAGGAGAAGCTCAAAAAGTCCTTGAGTAGTCTGAGCACTACTTGGCAACAACTAAAAACATCAGTGTGTTATCAACATTCTTCTCGTACTGAATCCAAAACACAGCACTAACTCTATCCCAGCCGAAACCAGGACAAGTTCTTAGCCCATTGTATATTGCTTTGAGCAAAGCCTTTATATGGCTCGAAGTCAGTGAAGTATGGTGTAGAAGTAGTGGATACTTACCATTATTTTTCGGTCTTTCATTCTTAGTGATTGGATTTGGTGGTCAGGTGTACACCACGGCTCCTGCATGAACCAGTCAGCTTTGAACAAAGATACTTAGATTTAAAAACCAAGCAAATAAAAAACCCACCTTTTATTATTAGAGTGGGATGACACTAGAACAGACCTGGGAGGTTACGGAACCTCTTCTGTTAGAAGTATTTGAGAAGAGGTCGGTGAAACTTCTGTCAGCGATATTAATGAAGAATTGACTGGCTCAGTCTAGAATACTGGATTAGGCACTCTTCTGAAATTCCTTCCACCCAGCTAGTATTGACTCTTCTGGTGGAATGGATGTGTGCAAATCCACCACAAAAAAAAGCAAATAGCTTGTATAAAATAAATCTGGAGCAGTTAAATGTCTGGCATACGGAGTACAGTGCCCCTGCAGTGCTCTGCTAAATATTCCAGGAAGCGACTTACTCTGAAATGTGAAGAAGGTTTCAGATGACACGTTAACTACAAATGGACTGATTATGGGCAGTTCCCTGAAATACTTCAGCGTGTGTCTGCTTAAAAAGACATTTAATCTTTCGACCAAAAAACCTTTAAACCAAAAAAAAAAAGGCTATTCCACTGTAATTTTAAAGAGGTATGCAGAGGAGTAGCATGTTCAGATTTTTGGTGAGACACTGGTATTAGTATGTTGAGAGCTGTGTATTGGAATAATGAGAGCAGCAATACTGAGTTGTGATAGAAGGAGAAAGTGTTAGTTGTGAGAGTCCTGGTCAGTCTGCAGGGAAAGGAGGAAGTGAAGTGACAGTAATATTTATTTTAGATGTGTACAATTGTAGCAAATAGTCAACCTTCACTGATCTGGCCTTCTGTAAAGAGACAAGCTTGAGAGAAGATTTCTTTTTACTCCAGAGAACAATGTGGAATTTACAGGGAAAGTAACATGCCTTGGGAAAAACATCCCTTTTCTCTCTCAATTATGTTATCATTCAGAATCAGGCATATGACCCTTACTGGTTGCCCTAGGATTTATTCTAGCTGGATCTGTTTATTTGGATAGATTATTAATGCGCGTTTGGTTTCCCAGAGCTACCTTAATGGTAAGGAGCAGAACTTGCTGGAATGCGTGAGAGTAAATACAGTGGGAGGAACCCGTAGGACGTTCTTTCTCCCCATTCTCTTCTTGGCTAGCATCTGTAGAGCTCTTGGATTGGTCCAGTTCTGTGGCATCAAACCCAACCCACAAATCCAGCAAAGATGCTTCTGTCACAGTTTCAGCAGAAAGTGGTTCCTCAGTTTTGCTCCATGCCACTGTTCAGTGGGAGGCAAAGGGCTAAACTTTCTTCACAGTAACAAAACAATGATGCATTTTTTGACAGCTTTCTTAAAAGCTGCTGAAAAAAAAAAGCATAAAAAGAAAACCCTTCACAGGATGACAAGTATTACAGCTTCATACCCACTATGTAATCCTGTAACTTGCTGTGTCTGGGAAGTCCCAGAACATCTGCAGGAGCTCTGAGAGATCTAGCCTCCACACACAAGTGCCCTGATCTTCCTTCTGTCTTGGTGTTTGAGTGCCATGATGTTAGCCCTTTGATGCACCTAGAAGGTGACTGTTAGTGTGTTGTCCCTTGCATTATGAGACTAGGTTAATTCCCACTTCCATCTTCAGTTTCTGAAAGACTTGTCTCTGACCACAATACAAACTCAGAATGATACACTAGGTAGATGTCAGGCTTAGCATTGCCAGATAGTGTAATAATGGAGACTTAATACAGTCACTGCTAGTTCTAAGATGTCTTTAGTTTGCAGTGGATTAATGAATTTCAAGGTAAAAATGTATTTCTTAAACAGCTTTTTTTTGTTACAAGAAGTTTAATATAAAATTAACATGCAGTAAGCATCACTGTAGATTGCATGTGATGCTCTGAGTACTAAGACTACCTTCACCGAAGGGCCTTTCTCTTCCTCAAAAATGAGGCATTGTGCAATGAAGAAGAAGTGAAACTGTCATGGTCCTGGGAAGTGACAGACCTAAGAAAAGTCAGTGCCCCTGCAAAGGTTTGGATATAGGTTAAGTGACGTCATCCTTGTCACTTCTTATGTTTGTAGAAGCAAAAGGTGAAACAAAATTTGCATTGATATGAGTTGGCACAAGTCATCTGAGCTAAAAGGCTTTGGAGGGTTTGAAAATAGATGAGCACTGAAATCTTGATTAGGCAGCAGGAAGTCATTTATAATTTACTTCAGTGCTTTATGTGGTGAACTTTCTAGGTGCGTTGTCGACAGTAACATTTGATTTTTTAATTTGGCCTGTGGGCAGCTGATGCCAGGAGGTAGCTGTATAGTCTCCCTGAGATACTCACAAGTGTGTGTTTGTGAAATCTTACTTGTCTACATATGCAAATTTATTAGGACATGGAGCCTTCGGACTCTGTAAAGGAGGACTTGCTTTTTATGCCAGGTACGTTATCTCTTGGAATGGATGGAAGAAGACTTGGAAGATGAGGACGACACAGTCAGTGCATCAAAACCAGAATTCTGCCATCCATTATGCCAGTGCTCAAAATGTGGGCCAGCACAAAAGGTTGGAATATTCATTCTGTAAAAAGAATAATTTATATTCTTGTAATGTAACTTTTAGCTCTAGGGAAGTAGCATTCATATTGTCCACCACCTCTGTATCTCTGTCTAAAAAGCAATTAAATATATACAGATCTTTGCAGTTTGCTTTTAGAATCTGTGGACTGCTGTCATTAAGGTTTGGACAGCTTTGAATAAATAGGAAAAATCTTTTTCTAAGCCTCAGTTTCTCCTGGTTCTCTTTTATAGTTTACATTGCTAACTGTCACAGAGTATTGACTTAGCTGTTAGTAATCAGTTTATCAAGGAATACCTGCTAATCCTATAATCAATGTAATGCTGATAAAGTCTTTTCTTAATTGCATGACATCTTTCATGCAAGCTATATCTAAAACCTCTTCAGAGATTAAATATCATTGCAAAGACTTCCTTTCCCTTTATTTATCATGGACTGTAGAGGAGAATCAGGCTTTACAATATACTCTTTTAATTTAAATAAGAAATGGTCCCAGCTTCTTGGAAATAGAAAACCAATTATTTGCCTTTCAGGAAGAAAATGTATTACTATGTCTGAAGGTATACATAACTGGATAAGTTATTGCAAAATAAACCAAGGTCTAAATTTTCAGTGTCCATATCACTTAACTGAGAAAACATGAGATGGCTTAACTTAATTCCTTCTTTTGAAATTCCTCGCTGCTACCTTATGTTTATTTTGTTCAGGCTAAGAGTATGCTGGTTGTCCTTAAATGCTTCACATTCACACCGCACTTTATTCTCTGGTAATGTGTGTCTATCTACCCCCAGCACAGAGATCATGTACTAAATATGCCAAAGCACAAGACCATAAAGTTCATTTTATTGATAATGGGAAGGAATGGCATTTGCTGTGGAATTTACTTGCCTACCGAATGAAAAGTAGAAGGAACTTGTTGACTAATCTTAACCACTGTATTGGGTAGGCACACATTTAAAAGCACACTGGGGATAGGCAGAATGAAAGATTGTCTACCACTTAAATGTTAGGCACCTACACAGTTTGTGAGAGGAGTAAAAAAGGATGGTTGGTACTGCTGTGTAAGCTGTCTTTCAGGTAGTTTCCTTATCTTCACTCCCCATAGGAGTCTGTTCTCTGAGCCAGTTTTACTTCCACATGAATGAAATTAATTTTAGTTTTTATTCTTATTAACTTGAGCTTCATGTAGTAGTAAAACAGGTGTGTAGTCTGTCTCCAAAAGCGTAAATGTCTGTATAAATGAAAGTCACTCGTAATATTATCACTTACTCTCCATATGTATGAGCATCCTAACAGCTATATAAAAAATGTAAGTTTTACTTCCATCTCAACCTGTGCTGCTTTAGCCTCTTTTTAATATAATGAATACTTTGCCTGGAATTTCTCAATATGAAGCTATCATATTGGAAGAAAAGAGAGAAAAATAAAAATTGTTCTGTTGAAAAATACTACCAAGTACTCTTTTCCTAAAGGTCTCAAATTAGGCTCTGTAGCAGAAGTTCTTACAATGTCCATCTACCTGTTTTGTGTATACTTAACAGGTATTTGTTTGTGTTTTGGTCAACGGAAAGTAACATGATTAATTATATTGTTTTGTTATGTATTTTCCTCAACAGAAATTTGCAAGGATCTCTTCTAACGGACTTGGAGTAAATGTTTCAAACCAAGATGGTTTTACACCATTGCATATGGCTGCACTGCATGGACACTCTGAACTTGTCTCTCTCTTGTTGAAACATGGAGCCAGTATCAGTGCCAAGAATGCAAAGCATGCAGTTCCTCTTCATCTAGCCTGCCAGAAAGGTCACTTCCAGGTAACTGAGCCTCTTCGTAAATGCAAGCTCTTTAACACTTAACTGCCAGCAAAAAGCATTTTGTGAAATTATCAACAAATTATCAACAAGACTAAACCAGTAGCAGTGAAAGTTAGTTTGGTGATTCTGCTTTTTCTTTCAGTGTCTAAAATCCCCATATGGAAAGGGGATCTTTCAACTGAAGCAGTTTCAGTAGGCACCTTTTCTTTCTAAAGGACCTAAAATAATGGTTTAATAAAAGTGCTGTGAATAGCTACTGTGATACATCAAACACTTTAAAAATAGCATGTGCAGCTGAATCTTCCTGTGTATTTTTTCTCTGTCCCTTCTGTTTAAGGAGGTTAAGTGTACATCTCTGGATGCAATGGACTTGGTATCTTCAATAGCCACAGTATTAAATATTTACTCTATCTTCAACTCATTTAAGTATATTGAGCCAAGTGGAGCTCTGAGGGTAGCAGAAAACTTTGTCCTGACTTCAAGTCAGGGAAGCATAAGCAGTGGAGGAGAAGCATGAGCTAGTCGGGGGAGGATATTAATACAGGAGGGAGAGTAGATGAGAGGGGGGAAAATAATGATCATGAAAAAGCAGGTGCGGACAGGCAGATGGGAACATGCAGAAAAGTAGAAAACTAGAGTTTTAAGAATAAGGAGCTGAGGACTGCAAAAGGAAAAAAAATGGAGAGAATTGTGAAGATGATGGGGAGACAAGGTACTAGGGAAGAAAACTAGAATACAGCTCAAAATTGTAGATTGATGAAGGTTAGTTCGTGGGGTATTTACAACATAAAGAACTCCTTCCAAGTGTTCTGATGAGTTTGGAAAGGGGGAAAGGATACTGTTGCTGTGGTCATTTGTTTGTGATGTTTTGTTAAGTTATTGATTAGGTATGTTTTTCATATACCTTGAGTTCTATTTTCTGGCCTTTCTTTCAGTTGCTTAAGTTTTTTTTAGAAGTGTGTGGTAAGATATGAAAATTAGTATGATAGGGGATGCTTGTGGTTATCTGATTGGCAAAGGTGAGACTTGTTTTCTCCATCCTTTTTTCTTCTATTTTTCATTCTAGATTTCAAAAAAGTTAAAAAAAAAAAAAGGAGGGAGGCTTTCACTGCATGATTACGGTTAGCTGGTATCTAAAATTAAACAGTTGTTACTTCTTTCAACAGGTAGTGAAGTGTCTGATGGATTACAATGCTAAACAAAACAAAAAGGATATCTATGGAAACACTCCTTTAATTTATGCATGCTTGAATGGCCAATATGAGACTACTGCCTTGTTGTTACAGGTAAGATCACTGAAAACAGAATGTTCTGAATAGTATATCTTACATGGTGTCTGTGGTTATCCAGTACTCAGGATTAGTATTTTTAGTTATGCATTTCTCCATCAAAACTACCCAGGGAAAATATAAAGAGTATTTGTTATTTCACTCCTTTCGATCCCTTCCCTTCATGTTTTTTAGGTAAATCTTACTTTACTGTTGTACAGCGAGCTGTCTTTGTGGAATTTTTTTGTGGCAAGTGTTTGGTTTTCTTGCTTATGATTCTATTGCATAGTATTTTTTTCTGGGGTTTGTGATTTTTTTTTTTTTTTTAAATATCTCTTAAACTTGGAATATATAGTAGGTACATGCAAAAATGAAATGAGCTGATCCTTGATATTGTGGCTATGAGAGAGGAGGAAATAATATGATCAGGTGGCTTATTGTTGAACTGGTGATTGCTAGCATATGTTTTCTGCGTTCGTATACAGCGACAAGGCTTCTGTTCCATTGTTCTCATTCATACATTGAATATAAACGGAGAGAAAAACAGAATAGTAATGTATTATCTCCATTTCATGTGAACTCTGTCTTTATAACTTCAATTTTATCTTGCTATGCAGCATGGAGCTTCCATTAACCTTTCTAATGCCAAAGGAAATACAGCACTGCACGAGGCTGTGATAGGAAAGAACGAAGCCCTGGTAGACTTGCTACTTCAGAATGGAGCAATGACACACATCAGGAACGAAAGGAACTGTACCCCTGCAGACTGTGCTGAGCCGGTGAGTGCAGAAAGCTCATCTCTGAGGTTAGATTTTCCTGAAGTTCCATATGCATAATGTAGGAAAGAAAACAAATATAACTATTTTTTTCACAACAATATTTGCCAAGACTTCTGTATTTAACAATTATGTGAGATACAGATATGAAGATGCCTGTTTATTGTACAATGTACAGTATGATACCTGTGGTATATGAAACCTGTTGTGTTTCTAAAATAAGTTATCCTAGACAAAAAGGATGAGTCTAGAAAGAGTGAAAGCACATACATGAATGAAAATGTTAAAATCTATGCTAGTAATGGCAGAGAGCACCCAAGAAATGTTAAATATAGGAAAATGAACAACTTTCACTCATCAGTTACACTGCTAGCAATCTTCCTTGTTCCATGCAGCATCTTTTGCCCTTCATGCCTTATGATACCTTTTATCTTGTCATAGATAACTCTGACCTTTCCCTTTATTAATAGCAATAACATAATTCGTAATATTAAATTATAAAGAATTATTTCACTCTTTAAATTATTTGATGCATGGTCCCTATCTTTATATGCTTAAATAGCCTCTGAGATGTAGCATAATGACCACAAAATTCTGTACTGAATCAATTTTAGTATGTGTATTACCATTTAAACTGAAATTAGTTTAACCATAAATAATACAGTTTAAAATAATAGGTTAAGACTACAAAATCATCAGTCTGGTACAGTGCAACTTGTGGAGCACTGATTTTGTCCCTACTCAAAATGATACAATTTAAAGTATGCATTTATAACGAGGTATTTTTGTGTACATTAAATTAATTTTGGCAGCAATTAATTAACACACTCTGCATAGACTAGAATCCTAAATTGTACTGATGTTTTTCTTTTTCTTTAATAATGGTGAAAATGGAAACTTTTAAAATTAAGAATTCAAATATCATTAAGTTGCTGGAAACAGCACCAAGCTATGTACCTACATCAGCAGAGAGAGCAAAGGAGTGTGAGCAGCATGCTACTATCAAGATAAGAAAAAAAGGTACATGTCATATTTCCACTGGTATGAATAAAAAGGGATTTAGGAATTCATGTGCAACTGTATCAGATGTTTTATATAAATGACTTACATATAATGAAAGAACAGACAACTATTTTGCGTATTTATTACAGGTAACACCTAAAATACAATAATTAAATGCTACAGACTGCTTTGTATTATATTCATGACATTGCTACAAACTCAGTTTTCACTTTTTTGGTGCATGAGGGGGAATTTTACATACAAAGCCATTTAAAGTTAAAAAACATGCCACATTTGAGATTATATGCTTAACCATGTAATAATTGTCCATTTCAGTGCAAAGTAAAACAGATTAACTTAAATCACCTCTAGTTGTCATTTACATTGCCCTAGAACAGGTTAGGGAGTGACCCTTCCATTAGTTACTGTCTCTCATATTATGGGACAGAAATACGAGCTACAGCAGTAACTGTTTAAACCATTAAGCATGGTTTGCAAAAGAATGTCTTTCAGTAAATGGCGGTGTGTAGTACAGTCTAAGAAAATATTTTGAGACACTTGGTACAGTTTGGCAATACAGCTGAGCTGATGTAATGGCTTATTGCCACTTAAAAGAGATGTTACTGACCGTCCATCCTCACCTCTTCCCTCTCACCCTCAGCTTCTGATTCTGGCTTATCCACTACTTTCCTTACGCTGGCTCAAAAGTTTCTCAGATTGATTTTCAAGCTGATACAGTTCACTAACCTGGGGCAAAGGGTGTAACAAGTTTTGTGGTGAGCTTAACAGCTCAGCGTAGTAAAGGACCTGCTGCCACCAGAACTGTGGAAAGAAGACAATGAGGCTGCATGAGTAGGAATCAGGGAAGATAAGGAGCAGGAGTGCCCACTTCATCATCCATGCCTTTCAGTTAGGCTTTTCAAAATAACTCTTGCCTGCTTCCCTAGGAAAGATTGTGAAAGTTTCGTTAATACAAACCCCCAAATTAATCACAGTATGCTGATGCCAAAAATTGATACAGTTCCTTCAAATATCATGAGAATAGCTCTAAAAGAACAATAGAAAACATGACTAGGTAATAGTAATGAAGAGGTGGTATAGCATCTGTGTGTTAATTAATTCAGATTTGTAAAAATTGGAATTAAGGGCCTAAAGTCCAGAATTATATGGTCTCTGCAGAAGCTTGGCCAGTCATGCTAATCTGATGAAGATTGCTTACTCCTGCAACTTAAAATGCTTTAAAATTTCCAAAGATAAATTGGACTCTGATTCCAGTTATTACTATTACAATTTTACTGTAAAATTTTAAATCTGATATCAGTAGATAGCAGTTTTCATTCAGAACTGTGTTTTTAATTCTTAAGTGGGACTGAGTTGTAATTTTAGCTGCCTGTTCTTTTAAACCCCTAGTGAATTCAAAGCCATGTGAGAAAGCTGATGATCCCGTAAGCAGACAACTTGAACTGCTCCAATCAATTAACAGGTTTAACAAGTAAGCACAGAAGCTTCCTCAGAAGTACATTTATTGTTTCCCATAAGTGAACAAGAAATACAACTGTTGATAAAGCCCCAAAGTGGGTCAGACATTGTTACACATTACATTTGACTAATTTGACGGTAGATGTTAATCCTCCGAGGCATGCACGTTCATATCGCCTGACAGATGTTCTAGGCATGACATACTCATTGGCGGTGAACCGCAGCGATGTGCTCTGCAGCAGGAGGGAAGAGCTGGCTAGCAAAGGAGTACTTGCAAACATACTTAAAATTGGTTTTGCACTAATATTTGGTGTACCATAAATTAAGAATTTCGGAGCCAGACTGCTTTAAAAGTATTATCTTAGTGCTTCACTCAGTGGTTGTTTTTTTGCCTATAATCTTTTCAAATGTTAATGTATGTTCTGTGATAAGATACAGGAAGCATTAGTAGGCTGTCATTTTGAGAAAGGGTTCAGATGGTAGCCTTTCTCTGTTGAGATAATGCCACCTTGTGGATTTTCTGTGATTGGACTTTTGTGGAAAAACGTACATAGTTAAATTTAAATTCTTTAAAATATTTTTTAGAGCAAAACATTTACGGAGAACAATAACAAGAGATAAAAGTGTCCCTAATTTTGACTATCAATTATTGCATCAGGTAAGTTTGTAATCTGTTTGTCTGCTATTAATATAGATACATGTAACAGGAAAGCTTTTTTACTAGTGGTGGTTAGCGAATCCCCAAAGCTCTGACCTGTCCACTAAATTATTAATGTTTCATCATTGTTCAAACTTCAGTGGTGCTTCTATAACACCTCTGGAACATCTTATTCTTACTTTTAAAGCTGTTAAGCCTCTTATCGCAGGCTTCATCTCTGTATTGTTTTCTGTGTCATGTCCAGCAAAATCTAGGTTATACCAAGGCTTGAAAAACTCTTACAGCTTATCAGAGCTGTAGGCCAGCAGAGATGCTAGAGAGAAATTTTTCAGTCGTTTAAAATTGGGGGTTTCATGATAAGTCCGCTTGGAGGAGATTGTTTGCTGGGGTGATAGCAAACTGCATGTTGCATTGTCAGCTGTGACACAAATATATGTAATCAATTAATCTATGGTTGGGGGTACCATGGCGCTCTATGTCAATCTGACTGTTGGATGCGGCCCTCCACCCAGAGCATGTGCTCCCTCTTCCTCCTTTGTATACTGGCTTTGACTCTCATTCGACCTTCTGCTGAGCCATTTCAGCATATTAAATTGAGAGAAAAACTAACCTATTCAAAAGAAAACAGTTTTTTACCAGGTTAGTTCAGTAGCTGCCCATTATTGGGTTGACGTAGCCTTGGAAAAGTGGACTGCTACTCATCTCTGTCTAGAAAATGGAATACTGTTCTGTGTCATAGAGCCCTTATGAGATTTAGCATTTGCAACGAGCCTTGAAAATGCCAAATTAATGCTATAAAACTCTAATATTTTATTAATTCTTTCTAATATTAATGATAATATCCCACTATTTAACTAAGCATGGAATTTAGATTTTATGTGTGGATCGTTGAAGGCAGTATGTCAGGCAAGTACAGCAGGTGTCAAAAAACTAATATGTGACCATGAGAGAGAGAGAGAGATATCTATAGCACTTCAACCATGGGCGACTGTCACGGCTTTGTGAATTTACAGGTTATACGGCTCTGAATTGTTAGTGGGTTTAAACACGTATAATCTCCATCTTTCAAGATTGTTGCCATTATTTCAGTGAAAGGGTATCATAATTAATGTCTGCCTTTAGTTCTTATCTTAGAAAATCTGTCATTAGGGTCCTTGGATTCTCTTTTTTCTCTTAGTTATTTTAACATTTGCAGAGTGGCTGGTAATTGAGGCGAGCCACCCACTCTGAAAAGGGAAAATCAGGAGCAGATATGGAAGAGAAGAATAGTTGGAATGACCAAAAAGAGTCTTTAAGGCGGGTGGGGAGTGTGGGTGTCTCTTCCCTGACAGGTAAGATCCAGATGCAGGGAGTTTTTGCCTTTGCCTTCAGCAGTGCCTGGCTGAGCCTGTCTCTATTACTACTTACCCATTTCTTAATGGTAAAAGAAATGGCTGTTAATGTCAAGTACCTTGAGACTTGCATTGCAAAAGGTATATAGAAGAGTTAGGATGATACTGGGATAGTGAAGTGAAAATAAGTTTTGGAATGCCTTTGTTATCTTTTCAGTTCTGGTACTCATGTATGTGTAGCCTGGGGCAGGTTGGCCTCTTCTTGTTTTCTCATATGTAGACCAAATATAATTGCTGTCCTACAACGTATGATACCTTCAATCCTTGGCTGTGTTCTCAGTGTAAAGAATACCATGAAATTAACGTGATAATTATATTCAAGAAACACCATTTTAATTTTAGTTCTTTGTGATGAAGAAAATAGACAATGCTTTTAATGTACCATTTTTCTATCCTCACAGTTAGCTATTAAAAGCTTTGATAAAACCAAGCTAAAATCTGTTGAAACGCTGGACCAGAGCAAAGTTAAGGTTCCTGATACAGGATGCAGTGGTGAGTTCGTGAAACATGATGAAGTGGTAGAAGCTCCTCACAGGAGTAAATTAATGCACCGAAGACACACCGTTAATGTGCCACTTTCAGCAGAGAATGTCAGCGGTAATAGTTTATCCAGCCCTGGAAATCCAAGTATTTCACAATCAAGAGACTGCTGTGATGACTTGCTTTCAAAGCATTGACAAGAAAGCGTGAATTTGATGTCAAGAGCTGAGGAACTTCTAGGTTGTGGGAATTTCAATACCCTTCACTGTATATCAAAGAATTCAGTGATGCTTGCAAGGCTGCCTTCAGAACAGAATACAAGGATGACTCTCCAGCAGAAACAAGATGTTCCTAGCACTTTCAAAGATTGAATCCTCTGTTGATGTTGGAGGTAACTACACAGACAGAGACAGATCATTACTGATCTCAGCAAACAGGGACATACCAAGATGTAGTCAGCAAAATTACTTTCCTATTCTACTTAGCACTTATTAAAAAATTATATGTAACAATAAACCAAACCAAACCCTGTATTGTATTTTTTGGCCACCCACTTTGTTTTTAAAAGTATTTGAATACTTTTTGCATTTTCAGTTTTTATCACTACATTGGATAAGTATATATAAATATATATATTTATATATATAAAGATATATTGGATAACCAGGTATTTATTGCCAGAGGTAATTGAAATGTCTCTATTTTTATTGTAGTGTTACAAACCATTATAGTGTATATTTCTGTATATTTCAGTAGCTGGGAAAACAATAATCCATAACATCTGCATCGCCACATTAGAAATTTATATGTGCTATTAATGTGAAGGGATGTAATCCTTGCTTATTTCTTTACAATGATCCCCTGTTTTGGATCTGAATGATCAAGTTCTTATACAGGAGGCAAGATACTGGGAAAAAGTAGAGAGCGCTCGACAAAGCTAACTTTGGACTTGCTGTTCACAGCCTAATTAAAAAAAAAAAAAGCAGAAGCAAGCATGTATAAGGACACACAAAACTGTTTTAAGTTACGGGTTTCCCCCCACCCCCTCCTCTAAAGCAAGTCGTGCAAAAATGCACAAATACTCATGACTCTGAACCTGGGCAACATCTGCCGACAAAACTGCTGCTCAGGAGCCTGCTCTGGACTGCTCTTTAAAAAGGTGAAACTCCAGTTATGAAAGGTACTTCTCGCATCAGTAAGCATTTGCTGGAATAGGCCAAATATTACCCCATTCCTGGAGGTGATCACTGAAGAACTGAAAGCTCACAAGAAACCATGAGACGGCTGCTTCGATTTGGACTTCGTTTTCTATTGTTTCGGTTATGGTAGGAGAATGTGTAAATAGCACAAGCCAGGTTTCTAAGTGCGGTATTTTTTTATTCTCAGCTCATCACATCCAGCTTGCTTTTTATTTCATAAACTATTTGTATGAATAATTCTATTTCTTTTAACTGTGGTATTAGTAAACTGCCTGGCAAAGTACAAAGCTGGAAGACATACTGGTAATTTTTTTCAAGTAACTTTTTAATCTAAGAGGTAAAATATGCAGTAAGTGCACATATGGACATTTGGAGATGAGGGTTATGTGTTTATTTTTCTAATAATTTATGAGTTCATCTGATTTTCTAATGTGCCTTGGATTTGTGCCAAATGATGGAAAGAAAAAAATAGTAAAATAACTCTTGAAAATGCTGATTTCTTTGAGTGCGTTTTTCAAAGCAGTCTTTTACACAGATTTCCTTGCTTTTGTTTTTGTAGGCATTTGAAGACTTCACCTTGTGTCTATGTGTAAATTGAGGGATCTGTTGGAATTTACTCTCAAGTTCAGCATGACCCTCTTCCCTCCTACGTTCATGAATTACTATTACTAGGTTGTGTGGGTTTGGATTTAAGGCATGGAGGTGTACAATACAGAATTGTTAGTGAAACCAAATGTTTTCACACAACGTCATTCTCTAGCTCTACATTCCCATTAAAAAAAAAAAAAGTAGGATGGATATTCGGCTATAAGCCAGAAGAGCAAGAGGAAAGACACATGAACTAGTTTTTTTCCTTCTTGTGATGCTATAAAGATGACCTAGAATAAGTCACGTATCCTTACCTTTAGGAAAAATAAGCTAGATATTACAAAGCTTAAGATAGAAGTAAACTGTCATAGATCTGTTCCAAACTGTAGCGAGAATTTTGCTTGTGTTTTAGTTATACTATGTATTTAACTAAATGATTCTTGTCTTGAGACTTCTTGACAATACGGATGAGAAAAATCAGTTTATTAGCTTTTTAATACTGGTGATACTATGCTACAGAGTAGAAGTACAGAACATACTGCTGTAACTACTGAACGTGAGTTAGCACAATGACACCAAGTTCAGTATCAAGTGTTTTTCTTGATTCTTAATAAGCATAGTGTGGTTGAATAGCTTTGGAAACAGGTTGAAAGATAGCTTATTAAGCCCCTTTGAAAAGGATTAGAGATAAGTATCAGAGGATGTGAACTCTGAATTTAGTTACTTGCTTTTTTCCTGTTAAAAACAAATTTTGAGTACAAGAGATTATGGAAAACAACTTACTCAATGCTGTTGTATTTTAAGCATGAAATACTTTATGCAAGCAATGGAACAGCTGCAACACTCCCAAGTTTGAGCCTTGATATGAATGGTTATATAATTATTGGTTAGAAGTAGTGCTTGCCTTTGAAACTGCCCCCCACCCCCCCAATGAAATGCAAAATTTGCCAGAAAAAAAACCAACTAGTAGCTTACTAAGGCAACTTAACATAGACTTGGTGCATATTGCCTACTGTATTTTTTAACAAAATACGTATTTTAAGACATCTAAGAGGAGAATATATTTTTTCTTTAGTTTTACAGAAAAAGTATTAATTCGTTAATCTGAGTTTTCTATTCTATTACAGCATCGGAACAGTTGTCCTTGTGAACCTGAGGCTACTTAAGTGACCGAGCCACACTTCAGTTTTATTCAGTGTTCAGTCTAGGGTAAAGCTTATTCCCAGGCATTTTGGATGTGTACTGTGTTTTAATAAAAGCACTTCAATGCCAAACAGCTCCACTATAATCTAGATGATAGAAAGGTAACGAATGACTAACAAATTATTTAGGTAAATGGAATAGGTTGCAAGTTTCCTTTGACGTGCTTAACCAAGCTTGTAATTAAAAAAATCCCTTAATAGTGCAAACAGACTGAAGTCAGCTTCATGACACTTACCATTTGTGTGCAAAGCATGTTACTGTACAGTCCAGTTTAATCTCCAAAAGGTTGCAAGTTAAAATAAATCCAAAGTGTTACTTCATTTTGACAACTGAGATTTGGGAACAGCCATTTTAAAACAGGAAGGCAATAAACTTATGTTGTTACAAGTACAATCTGATGAATTTAGGAATGGGAATGTGAAACATGGATGCTTAGGATATACCTGTAGCCCTAACGGGAAAACTTTTAAACCATCTATCACCACACCTTGGCTTGAAACTCTTCACGCTAGTAAAGGGTCCTTAGTCTAAAGAAATTAGCATACATCCATGATATTACTGAAGTTAAAGAATCCTAATAACAAACATAGACAAGCAAAATACCCAGTCTAGTCCAAGTGAAACAAAAATAACAACTGTTTAAATACTTTTTAACCACATTCACACAAGATGAAGAACACTCACTAACGCTCACTTTAAACAATTTTATTCTGTTCCAAAAACCACTGCAGTTGGGATCATACATGTTCCTGTTAAATTATGTCAGAAAAGGGTTTTGTGGTGGTAGAGCGTTTATTGGCATGTTACAGTATTTATCCAACATATTTCCATAACCATATTTTTGAATAAATGTATAGCACAAGTTCAGTTTTACTTTATGCATGCAGGAGTTGCCGAAAGTTTAGGAAAACAGTCTTTTTTTTCAAAGTAAGAAACACTCCAGCCATTTGATAAAAATGGAGGTAGTTTTAAGAACATATGATACGAAGTGTCTGAACAGTGCTATGTTACACAGTTAACTTGCTTTTTTTGAGACAACTTGATTATTTCATAGGGGAACAGTTCAACTGTATGCTGGTTACACAGACTGCCTGATATGAAGTCCTCTGATCCAAACACTACTTTGATACCTTCACTTCACTTTATAAATTTCCAGTAAGGACTTGAGAGCCAGTGAGCTGCTGGGTAGGCTTTCTTCAGGGGCTCAGGAAATCTCGTTTCTAACGCTTCTGTGATTTAGCGCCTGGAGGTAAGTCTTCAAACTCCTAGAGGGGAGGGACTGTTCCCAGCTTTATAGTTAGCTCCTCCTCATGTTATGGTATCTCCAATAGCAGCAAGTTAAGTGTGTGCAGTTGCTGAAAGCACAGCTTACACAATGAGTAAGGGGCAACAAAATGTTCATGCTAACGAAGCAGTGGGGAACCCCATGCTGCTTGGGCCTCTTATACTACAAAAGTGTTAAATTACAAAATCCCCTTCTCAGATTTGTTTTACAAGACAAGTTCATTTGTTGGCCTTTTTATAAAAAAAAAAAGTAAAGAAGCGTAAACATTTTCAGATCTTGCATTCTGCCTGATAACAGCATCTTGCCTTTTTCCAGGCCTTTTGTTTGGCAGACAGTCTTACAGTAGTATTAATAATCATCCTCTTCATCAGAATCCAATACTTTCCTTCTGTTGAACTAAAATGAAAATAACATGAAGTGGAAATAGAAGGGTCACGGTAAATCCAACATAGAGCAAGCTTTTCAATCTTGACGCGTTTCACAATGAATACATTACATGGGAGCAGAACATTCACCCCATCACAACCCACAGCCCCGCAAATCCCCGCCTGGCATAATGGTACGGGACAGACGCAGGGTAGTTTGTCGCACAACAGAACACCGATAGCCCAGTGCCAGTATCTGCAAATTACACTACTGATACGGACTGCTATGACTTAGTCCCAGCACTTCTCTGCGTAGGTGAGAGAACTAGTAAATACAGGTAAGTTCTAGCCTGAATTGAAACGGTCCAATACATGAGGCTTTCTGCTCAATTATATATTAAAACTATATGTAGGAAGTGAAGTTTACCTTTACTGTTGTTTTCTTTTCTGTTTGCTGACTCACTTTTTCAAGTATTTCTATCAAACCTTGTTCTGATACCTAGGAAAGCAAAAGAAAAGCCATATAAACATAATCTGAGAGATGCTTAGCATCAAACAACTGAAACGCACTTTCCCTTCTTAAAAAGGTGTTTGATGGAATTATATAATAGTATTTAGAAGCTCTCAATGGCCTTTTTCAGTTTTTAATTTACAGGTATTAAAAACATTGAATTTTTTTGAGAATGAATTAGGTTTGAAAATTAATATATGCGAGAAAGAATTAGAAAAGCGTAACTCACCTTTCCGGCTAGCTGTCCAAATCTTGCCATCTGTATAAGATAATTCTCTACTGCTTTTGCTTTGTCTGGTTTCACAAGTGCTAAATTGCTTACTGCAACAAAAACAGGCTCTGTTCATTTTGTTTTGAAGCATACTCAAATACCTTCAATAGTAACTAAAAAGTGAGAAATGTCCCTATGAAACAGTCTTCTTCACACCAGGGTCATGAAATAAATTGAAAAGGCATTTTCATTTGTATAAAATAAAGATACAAGATGGTAGTTTTATGTCTGTCTTTTCCATACTTGCTCCTAATTAGATTTAAGTAATTTTGACTCTCACTACACCTCCTACTATTAATTAAAAAAAAATTTTGATTAACATCATTCAGATGTCAGTTAACCCCTCCCCTCCAATCACCGATTATCATCAACTGAGAAACTCTTAACAGTTTTATCTTCCCATCAACAATAATATTTTTCTAGTCCAGCCTCTATACAAGCACACGCACGCTTGATTTGATCAGCACTGGGGTACAGAAGATAGAGGATTTTTTATTAGAATGTTACTTGGATACTTACATCTTGCACGAGCTGCTTGATCAAGAACTTGAGCTAAAATAGTATTTCTTATCTCTGCTTCCCTGTCATGAAAAATCAACCACACATTAAAAGTGAGATTTCAAATACCTAAAATAATATGTACAAAACAGCAAACGACAGAAGACTTCCGATTCATGTAAGTAACTTTGTGAGGTCCCTTCAAACTTTCCATTTACTTGATTTCTTTCATAGCACTTTCTGTCATGAGTAGCTACGTACACTGACAAAGTTACATAGCTGACATCTTCAAAGAAATCAAGATGGAGTTCACTACTTACACCTTATTACTGTTTATTATTACATCTTAAAGACAAAAGCCACGCTACCCACTGTAAAGATTCTGCATTCAGTTCCATAGGGAATTTCACTGACAGCAGTGTATGGTAGAGCAGGCATAAGGAATAGTCTGTGCAATTGCAAGACAGAACCAAACCTCATTATTTATTTAGAATTTTTCAATAAGTCTTCATATACTTACAATATTAGACTATGTATTTGCAAAACTGGCGTTTTAGTTTATGCCTTTCAGTTAATACAGACTTTAAATTCTAGATCTTTAAACACTTATTTTCAGTTTTCTACTTAGTGCAAATACTAAACACAGTTTCCACACTGAGCACTGACATGAATTGTTTTGTTTCCTGTTTGTAACTACAATAGATGTCCCAGAAAAATCAAATCAACTAGGAAAGCGTGTTCCCATTGCACTGACAGAGCCAAACCCAAACTTGTCACTCAGACAAAACTCGTTTGGGAAGAGTTCTGCCAGCCTTCCAAGATTTTACGACCAACTTTCACCAACCCTGAAAAGCCAAGGTTTCTGAGTTCCAGAAGCAGATGATGATGGAAATGACAATGCTTCCCAAAAATGTCCTCTTGTATCACTAAGGGTCATGAGGTTATTGTGCTCAGCTGAGTCCCAAAGTGAAAATGGGCTGCTACTGCTGTTTTCCTCCATACCCTCCCACCCCAGTCAGGGGTCAGACTGCCTGACAGCTCTGTTGTAGATCATGCAGTACAGTCACGGCCTGGGAGCCACACTTGGATAAATCAGATTTTAGCTGTCCTTGGATTACATCTTCAACTTTTCAGCTTCTTTGTTGGTGGTTTTTCCAACAACAGAAACAATTCAGCTAAGTATTCCAAAGAAATTAAATACTCAAAAAAAAGAAGTAAAAGGTTCAAACCAATTCGATTTAAGACCACAAGTCAATAGTTCTCATTTATACCTCTGTTTAGCTTCCTGTTGCGATGGATCACCAGAAGGATCCTAAAGAAGAGATCAGAATAAATACGATCATCCAAAAGCATTCCACACAGGACAGCAAGTTTACGTATTCCAGCAGAGTCAATGTAAACTAAACCTGCCTGCTAAACCCGCCTGACCATAGATGAGATCCTGAAAATAAGAATCTGCTGCCCTAGCAAATAAATGTGCCATCCTACACTTTCCTCACAAAGCAGTAATGCAAACTAGCACTACCGGATCTATCCAGACTGTTGTACGTTTGGACATTAAAAGGCCTTCCCGTTAGGTCTAAGATGATAACATTTCCCGAAGTCCAGAAAACAGACAAATGTATTTTAAGCCCTTTAAGGCGAGCTAAGGACAAATGAAAATCAATGTAACACTTTGTATTTATCAACGCAGAAGAAACCACAATCCTAGCACGGCATTTTGGGAGTAACAGAGGCAGCTGAGATGTCTATTCAGAAGCAAGTAACAAAGGAAAAAAAAAACCCAACTTCATGTTGAATCTGCACCTCAAACGTTACAGGTAACATTTCAAAGTCTGAAAGCAGAACGGGAAACCATAGAGCGAGGGAACGAGGCTGATCATAGCTACGGGAGATCCCTTCACAGGAACAACGGGACAGACTGATACGCTTCAGCTCTGAAAAGAGAAATGACTGAAACGACTGATGATGGGAATCCATAAGAACGTGAGTGGCACGGGAAAGGGCCGGGGGAGGGGAAGGTTAAGCGCTGAACCTTCCA